AATTACTTTGGGCAGTATGGCCATTTCATGATATTAATTCTTCCCATCCATGAGCATGGAGTTCTTTTCCATTTGTTTGTGTCCTCTCTTATTTCCTTTAGCAGTGGTCTGTAGTTCTCCTTGAAGAAGTCTTTCACTTCTGTTCTTAGCCCTATTCCTAGGTATTTTATTCTTTTTGTAGCAATTGTAAATGGAAGTTCATTCATGAGTTGGCTCCCTTCTCATCTATTGTTGGTGTACAGGAATGTGTGTGATTTTAGCACATTTATTTTGTATCCTGAGACTTTGCTGAAGTTGCTTATCAGCTTTAAGGAGTTTTGAGTTGAGAAAATGGGGTTTTCTAGTTATAGCAGAATGCCATCTGCAAACAGAGACAATTTGACTTCCTCTCTTCCTATTTGAATACCATTTATTTCTTTCTCTTGCCCAATTGCCCTGGCCAGAACTTCTTATACTATGTTGAACAGGAGTGGTGACAGAGGGCATCCTTTTCTTGGCTGGTTTTCAAGGGAAATTCTTCCAGATTTTGCCTATTCAGTATGATATTGACTGTGAATTTGTCATAATTGGCTCTTATTTAGATATGTTCCATCAATACCTAGTTCATTGAGAGTTTTTAACATGAAAGGATGTGGAATTTTATTAAAGGCTTTTTCTGAATCTATTGAGATAATCGTGTGATTTTTGTCTTTAGTACTGCTTATGTGATGGATTATGCTTATTGATTTGCCTATGTTGAGCCAGCCTTACATCCCAGGTATGAAGCTGACTCGATGGTAGTGGATAAACTTTTTAATGTGTTGCTGGATTCAGTTTGTCAATATTTTATTGAGGACTTTTGCATTTATGTTCATCAAGTATATTGGCCTGAGGTTTTTGTTGTTGCTGCTGTTGTATCTCTGCCAGGTTTTGTTATCAGTATGATGCTCGCCTTATAAAATGAGTTAGGAAGAAGTCTCTCCTTTCCAAATTGTTTGGAATAGTTTCAGAATAAATGGTGCCAGCTCCTCTTTGCACATCTGGCAAAATTCAGCTGTAAATCTATCTGGTCCTGAACTTTTACTGGTTGGTAGGCTGTTACTGCCTCAATTTCAGAACTTGCTATTGATCTATTCAGGGATTCAACCTCTTCCTGATTTAGTCTTGGGAGGGTGTCTGTGTCTACAAATTTATACCTTTTTTCTAGATATTCTAGTTTATTTGCATAGAGGTGTTTATAGTATTCTCTGATGGTTGTTTTTATTTCTGTGGGGTCAGTGATGATATCCTCTTATCATTTTTTATTGTGTCTATTTGATTCTTTTCTTTTCTGCTTTATTAGTCTAGCTAGTGGTTTATTAAATTACGTTTTTCAAAAAACAAGCCTGAAGATTCATTGAATTGTTGAAGGTTCTTCTTTCTTCTCAGTTCCATTGTGATCTTGGTTATTTCTTGTCTTCTGTTAGATTTTCATTCTGTTTGCTCTTGGTTATCGAGTTCTTTAATTGTGATGTTAAGGTGTTGATCCGAAATCTTTCTAGCTTTTTATGTAGGCATTTAGTGCCATAAAGTTTCTCTCTCAACCCTGCTTTAGCTGTGTCCCAGGGATTCTGGGTTTGTTCTCATTGGTTTCAAATACTTTCTTGATTTCTGTCTTAATTTTATTATTTACCCAGCAGTCATTCAGGAGCAGATTGTTCAAGTTCCATGTAGTTGAGTGGTTTTGAGTACGTTTCTTAATCTTGAGGTCTAATTTGATTACACTGTGATCTGAAAGACCATTTGTTATTAGTTCAGTACTTTTGCATTTACTGAGGAGTGCTTTAATTCCAATTATGTAATCAATTTTAGAGTAAGTTCCATGTGGCACTTAGTATAATACATATTCTGTTGTTTTGGGGTGGAGAGTCCTATAAATATGTATCAGAGCTATTTGACCAAGAGCTGAGTTCAACTCCTGAATATCCTTTTAAATTTTCTGTCTTGATGATCTAATATTGACAGTGGGGTGTTAAAGTCTCCCACTATTACTGTGTCAGAGTCTTACTCTCTTTGTAGGTCTTTAAGAACTTGTTTCATGAATCTGAGTGCTCCTGTATTGGGTGTATATATATTTAGGATAGTTAGCTCTTCTTGTTGAATTGATCCCTGTACCATTATGTAAAGCCCTTCTTTGTCTTTTTTGATCTTAGTTGGTTTAAAATCTGTTTTGTTAGAAACTAGGATTGCAATCCCTGCTTTTTGCTGCTTAGCAAATTTGTTTTGAGCCTATGTGTCCTTTATCTCTAATTTTCTACTTCTTTTTTTCTACTTGTTTTCTAATTCTTTTTCTCTAATCTTGTCTTATTTCAGCAAGATAGTCTTCAAGCTCTGAAATTCTTTCCTATGCTTATTCTATTTGGTTATTGATGTTTGCAGTGTGTTGTGTTTTTCAGCTTCATCAGATCATTTACGTTCCTCTCTAAACTGGTTATTCTGGTCAATAGCTTCTGTAATGTTTTATCATGGTTCTTAGCATCTTTACATTGGTTTAGAACATGCTCCTTTAGCTCAGCGAAGTTTGTTATTGCTCACCTTCTGAAGCCTACTTCTGTCAATTCATCCATCTTAGCTTCCTTCCAGTTCTGTGGAGAGGTGTTGCAATCATTTGGAGGAGAAGAGACACTCTGGCTTTTTGAGTTTTCAGCATTTTTTAATTGATTCTTTCTCATCTTCATGAGTTTGTCTAGCTTTGAGGCTACTGACCTTTGGATGATGTTTTTGTGGGGACTTTTTTTGTTGCTTTCTGTTTGTTTTACTTTTAACAGTCGGGTCGCCCTTCCACAGGGCTGCTGTGTTTTGCTGAGGGTCCACTCCACATCCTATTTGCCTGGGCCCCTCCCGCACCTGGCGGTGTTACCTGCGGAGGCTGCAGAGCAGTCTTGTACACGACGTCTGGCCACCCCTGCTGCTGGGGCTGTCCCTTGATGGAGAGGGTGTGGTGTGCTGGGTATTTTTTAAATACCTTAAAGAATCTTTATTTTGTTTAATACACTAGTGCTAATGATTCAATTTAGTGCACTCATTCTGGCTCCTGGGATTCCTCAGAGCAAACGGGGAAAGACTAGGTCTGCTGATTCACGGAGATCATGGCTACCCCTCCTCCCAGGGGCTCAGTCCCAGGGAGTTGAGAGTTCGGTCCCTGAACCCCTGGCAGGAGCTGCTGGAACTCCTGCAGGGAGGCCCAGCCCAGTGAGGAGGGACGGGTCAGGGTCTCGCCACGATCGGCCGCAGCTGCTGTGCTGGGCTGATTCCTCCTGCGTCCGGACTGTCCAGTCTCCCCAGCAGCAGCAGGGAAACCGCGGCGAGGCCGCGGCGACGGCGGGAGACGGCGGGAGACGGCGGGGCGGGGCCGCGGCGACGGCGGGAGACGGCGGGAGACGGCGGGGCGGGGCCGCGGCGACGGCGGGAGACGGCGGGGCGGGGCCGCGGCGACGGCGGGAGACGGCGGGAGACGGCGGGGCGGGGCCGCGGCGACGCCGGGAGACGGCGGGGCGCAGCTGCAGTGATGGCGGCTGCCTCCTTCCCGGAGCTCAGTCATCTTAGGCAGTAGGCTGCGGGAGTGATGGCAGCAGCCCCTCTCCCCCCCACCCGGGAACTCCGCGGTCTTAGGGAGCCCCCAGCTGAGTGGCCGCCGAGAATCTGCACAGCTTTGTGCTCGGGTTCCACCCTGGGTTCATGGGGGTCTCCTGATCCACGGAAAAAGCATGGCTTCCCAGGCAGGGTGGCATGACCGGCCACGGCCCCCTGCCCGTGTGGCTCAGGTGGGCCATCGCACCATCCTGCTTTTCGTTGCTCTCCGTGGGTCATGCCAACTGCCTAGTCCGTTCCCGTGACAGACCTGGATACCCTGGTTGTCGGTGCGGGATTCACCCGCCACGTTGCTGCTTCTAGGCGGGAGACTCTGCCTGCAGCAGAGTCTAGTCGCCATCTTTGCTGTTTAGATATTATTTGTGTTAAGTTTACATATTATTTGCAGAGAGCGTACACTACAGTTTTTTTTTTTTTTTCCAGTTTTGGTTTCGAAAAATTGTGTGCCGTCAGAATCTTTAAAATATTTTGTTTAATACATCAGTGCTAATGGTTCAGTTTAGTGCTTTTGGGATTAGAAAGTCATATATTTTGGAATCGTTTACCTTTACATTTTTCAGTAAATGAGCTTGAGGATGTTTTTTGGTACGTTTAACTTTTAATACAATAATAATTTATTTGGGACGTGATATGCAGTGGACTTCTAACAATATTGTTTTCAAGTAGAGCATAACTCCAAATGCTAAATGCTTCTTTTATTTATGCATTCAAAAATATTTATTCAACATTGGTTATGTGACAGCTGTTATTCTAGGCTTGTGATAAATCAAAGACTCTACCTTCATCCAGCTTATATTCTAGAGATAACTAAAGGCAATAAACTGATAAACACATAAGATAAAACCTGGTATTAATAACTATAGTGAATAAAAATAAAGGCAGGGTGAGGGGGTAGAAAATCACGAGGGAATCTGTTTTGTACTGGCTGGTTAGAAGAACTTGATTTAGAAGGTGAAATTCTGTCGCACACATGAATGTTGTAAAGGCATACTTTTAGGTTAGTAGATAAACAATTTGTGATTCATACTAACAATGATTAATCCAAAGTATGATATTGAACTTAGTAGAATTCTTTGTTTTTCAAGGTTAAATTTAACATATGTTAAAAGACACCAGATTTAGTATATGCAGTCAAACAATGATGTACTATGATTGACAAGTGTCTCTCATTTGTTACATGGAATTAAAAAGACAAAATATGTGGAGGTACATTTTCTATTGGAACAAATTTATACTTACAGGTGTATATTGAACTAATCAACAAAAATATGAAATATTTGAACAAGAATACAATTTTTGCAATTTCTTAATCTTATGCTACTACTACTACACACACACACACACACACACACACACACACACCCCCACCCACCCACCCACCCCTATATGAGTACATATTAGGTTCTGAGTTACTTTCATTCAATACATAAATTTAAGCATAAAGCCAAGCACTTGAGAAAAAAGCAAAATATAATAGGCCGCAATTTACTCTTCAGACTTGCCCTTCCCAAATACCTTCATGAATCCTCTGGCCACTTCTTTGTTGCGGAGGCTGTAGATAAGGGGATTCAGCATGGGAGTGAGAATGGTGTAGAATACAGATACCATCTTGTCCTGGGTGGGTGAACGTTCAGATGTGGGTCGCATGTATATAAACATGGCTGCTCCGTAGTACATTCCCACCACCATGAGGTGGGAGGAACAGGTAGCAAAAGCTTTGCGACGACCCTCCCCAGATCCCATGTGAATGACAGCCAGAATAACTCGGGCATAGGAAGCAATAATAATTGCTACAGGGAAGAGAAGCATAATTACACAGCAGATGAATATCATCCTTTCAAACATCAAGGTGTCATTGCATGAGAGGGTAAGAAGGGCAGGTACGTCACAGAAAAAGTGGGGTATTTCCCGGGCACCACAATATGAGAAGGACAGTGCAACTGCATCTTCAATTATGCCATCAAGTGAGCCAAGAATCCAAGAAGCAGCAGCCAGAAGACCACAGATTTTTTGGCTCATGAGGACTGGGTATCTTAATGGATGGCAAATGGCAACGTACCGATCATAGGCCATTGCAGCCAAAAGGAAACATTCAGCTCCAAGCAGGGACACATAGAAGAATATCTGAGTTCCACAACTTGCCAGAGAGATAGATTTTTTTCCAGAGAAGTAGCTGAAGGCCATCTTGGGTACAGTGGTGCATATGAGCATGAGGTCCATGAGGGATAGTTGGCTGAGGAGGAAGTACATGGGGGTGTGGAGCTGGGTGTCCAGGTAGATGAGGAGAACCATGGCAGAGTTTCCCATGAAGGCCACTGAAAAGATGCCCAGGACCAGAAAGAAGAGGAAGGTGTGGGTGGGGCTGTGATTGAAGATACCCAGAAGGATGAAGTTAGAGTTGAAGGTCTGATTCTCCCATGCCATGATCAAGATGTTCACTATGGAGAATACAACATGTAAGAAATAACCAGAATTATGTCACAGAAATATCAAGGCTTTCCCTCCAAGAAAAACATCTACAAAATGTAAATGGGAAAATTATTTCTCTGGTTAATTATTTTTATTTGTAGACTAGGAAATTTAAGAATTATTTTTAGCTTGATGTGATTTTTTTAATGCAAAGTACATAGCTAATGGGCATGATAGGTTTCATAGTAAAAACATGGTATTTTTCTTGAGTTCTATAATCTAGTTGAGCAACAAGTCAACTAAAAAATGTAATGTAGATTATCCCTTTATAATGACAGGAAAATCATGAAAAGACTCATGAATTTGGGGAAATTTCATTACATTAGTATTATATTTCCCAGGGAAACTAATAACATCACACTATAATGCTAACAAAATTTCATATAGGAAAGTATAGAAGAAAACAAATACTAAAGTGATACATGATTAGTCAAATTCCAGGTAATAAGAATAAATTAAAATACCAACATGAGGAGTATGCTACTTGATTCTTATTGCTAGTAACAGTAAGTTTCAGCAGAAGGTCCTCACCAATATGCTCTTTCCTCATCTAGTCCCTAAAAATTAAGTGCGTCCAAAAGACAGGCATAGTCTATTTTACTGAAGAACCAGGTTACACGAGAGTGTCAGAGCATATTTCAAACTCTTTTAGCTGTGTGACGTTAGATGATTATTTTCTCTAAGCCCTGTTTTCTACTCTATAAATTTTGATATTTATAATATCTATATTATATGGTGTTATGAAGACTAAACAAAATTAGGTTTTAAAGTATTTAGAACATTACATCGATATAGTTTGTATAATACAAACATTTGAAATAAATACTATTTGAGAGAATACAGTATATTTCTAGTTTTCTTTAGAAGGACACTTTTAACAGCCTTCTTGGGGCTAAAAAATAGCATCTTTTTAATTCTCTATTTTTACATTCATTTGGTTTCCTTCTTGGCTTCTTTCTCCATGGATTAAGGAATTGGCTTTCTTTATTTCTCTCCTAATATCCTGTGAACAAATTGTTCACATTGTCTTATTAATTTTAATACTATTTATCTACATATTCTAATTATAACTCTACAGTTCACTACATCTTAAATTCCTAATCGGTTCTAAATTCTCTGAAAGGTTTCTTACATTTACAATGCTTTGAAAAAACTCAACCCATATTGTGTGACTTACACATGCTACTTAATTTTTTCAGATATTTTTACTTTTCCCACTTTTCTTAAAACAATTACTAATTTTATTTTCTAAAACATTCTTCTATCATTCATCCTGGTGCAAACCTTTTATTGTGCATCCCACGGAAAAAGTCTGAAACATTATTTTTAAATGTTCATAATTTCTCATGTTTGTTGATTAACACTTACTGCCCAGTGAAAATTACCACATTACTTGACTCAATTGCAGTCCCTCTAATAAACAATATGTATTTTTTATTTCAAGTTTATTCATGTTGTTATACTTGTGTGAAATTATCTCTCTCCCCATGTTTTGAAACATAAATACTAAAAATTTGTGGAAAAATAAAAATTTAACATATCAGCTCCTAAAAATGCTGCTTTTTCCATTTTGTACAAAACAATATTTCAATCCAACTTGCTGCATCCTTGAAAGATAATAAGAACCGCAAGTATTGATTCTTTCAAATTGTACCTAAATTACATAATTAACTAGTCCATAAATTAGATAAGTAATTTAAGGAAGCTGTGCACCCTGAGGAACTCTGTAGATCATATACCTTTTGATGTGTATTTGTCTTTTTATTTATCTTTTTGTCTTACTTATCTTTTTATTCTTCTGTTTAACCACAACCTTACACACATAGCTTGACTCATAGAGGGAACTAAAATGTCCTGGTCCCCATTATTAATTAACAAGAGGACCTGACTCTAATTAGGTTTAATTTTACATCTGAGTTTTTGCTCACAACTGTTTCCCATGCCTCCGGTGTTAACAACAAACTGTAGCACATTTTAATTCTATACCTTGTCACATTCTGTCCACATATGTAAAATTATCTGTTCAGTTTAGCCCATATCAGGACCCACCTGAAGAATAGCAGCGTGGGATAGTAGAACTGATCAAGACTAGTTGTTCTCTTATTAATCAAGAAACATTTTTCAGTTGTTAGCTTCTAGCAGAGAAGTGCAATATCTACAGTATGGCAGATGGAGAGATTCAGCCTATATATTCCTCTAACATTTTCATTGTTCAAATCTTTTCAAGGTTAGTTTGCATAGAAGAATATATTTATATTGTGTTATATTGTATTACCTCACTTTTTGCCAAAGGCAATCTATCAAATTATCATTTTCTTGACTGTCCTATCAGAGGAGACTAAAGTAAATAGTATTTAACGGTTGTCAAGGCACTTATTTCTGAGCACTCAGCTGTTTCTTTCACTTCAACCTCACATAAGCAATGCTTTAGTGAAAGCCAGTTAAGTGATGTTAGGAAGAATGCATTTATTTAGAGCTATATTAGCATGAAGGGTTAGTACAGACATTGAGTTAACACACTTAAAACATAATGTGTAATAGAACATTGTTTATTAATTTTGCAAAAATTTAATCACAATTTATATCATAGATTCTTGTGAAATCTCTTGTAGTATGGAATTAATAACTTTTGTCTCAAATAATGAGATTTTGAATCTAAGATTCAACTTTAAACAGTTTGTGTTTTTAATAATTATAAGTATAGGCTAAAAGGGGTTCTACAAAGATAATCTGAGGAGAAGGGAATTTAAGATAGTGAAGTGAGAAGGGAGAAAAGAATTAATGCTGACTGAGTAAAGACAGAGTGTCAAAAGGTAATTCACGCTGGAAGAAGAAATGTTGGTGCTGTAGAGAAACTAAGAGGAGCAGGGTGCAAAGGAGTGAAAAATGAGGCAAGAAGCAGTCCTTAAATGTTGATAGCTAAGCTCAATGTCCGCCCTAGATGTACTGCATTGTGCCAATGGACAAATCATTCTCCCACTTCCAAAGATGCAAAAACCAGGCACTATATTCTAGACAAAAATGGCATGCAAAAACTCTCCTTGCTGAAACTTGGAAATTATTCATCAAATACACCCTGCTGCCTACAGTCAGAAACTTCAAATCACATCCCACAAAAAGGATTGTTGATGTTTTTTAAAAAGCTTCATAAGTACTTCTGAAAAAAAAAAAAAAAACATTTGTATCTATACCCCTTAAAGATGGTGGATAAAGCTAATCTTATATTCTTCAGCCTATCACAATACATTATTTTTAAAATTTTCCAAAGCACCATTTGATTCAATTAATAGCACTATCCTCAAAGGCATTCAATGTCTTAATCTTTTTTTTATAGAACAGATTACATTTCTGATTGATCTTGTTTGTGAGGAATTTCAGAAAATTGTTCGAGCCTTTATTTCAAGTCATTTGTTCTCTTTTTCTAGTACAAACCCTTTGCATTCCTACTTACAGATCTCTATGATACAAAAATATGAGCTTAGATCTTTCTCAGAAGGTTTGTCTTGCTTGAAATTATCTTTCTTTTTCGTAATCCTTTACATCTGTAAATCATGTGTCTTCTTCCAGTTACATCACACATACATTTTTCTCCATGCTTGTTTCATCATTCCGTAGATAGCAAGTTCTGCAAATATTCAACTCACAGAAGACACGTGGCAAGTATCTGTTTTACACAAATTGCAAATGTCAAAAACCTTCCAATTAGACAAACCTGAGCTTGCATTCTGCTCTGTAACCAACAATTTTGCCACCAGGAAAGTTAAACAATATCTCTAAGATTTTAAAAAAAAATCCATCAACCACAGAGTTGTTATAAAGAATAATAATTTATTTAAATTTTTTCCCTTAAAATAACTGTATCACAGTATGCATTTATCAGATGACTCTTACCATCATTATATACTTCTTTTCATGCATTTCTTTTGGTAATCTTGCAATAAGCTTCACTGTTATTCACCAGGAAATATTTTTGAAAATATACTTTTTTCTTACTAGATTGTTGATAAGCTATATGCTTATTTCTTATATGCTCTTAATTAAACAAGTAAGAGCTACACAGTGAAGGAGTCCATACATGCTCCATAATTATTGAAACCGTGAACAAATAGACAAGATCCGTTGGAGAATCTTACAATGATTCTTAACTTATAATAGTTTCTATTGCTGTAAATAATACCTTACACTGACTTAGCACGTTCACAGGTTTTATTTAATCTTTTTCAAAAATATAGAAATACACTGCTTTACTTTCACAGAGACTATAAAGAGGTGTGTTTCAGATTAACGTGAAACGTTTACTTCCCTATTCTGAGGACTTTAAAATAGCTTAATTTTTTATATAGAACCTTTGAATTAAATGCAATTTCATTTGTTACGGTTGAACTCCAGAATGCCTTAGGTATTTTGTACTATACTCCCTCACCTAAATCTTACTTACCAGATGTCTTCGACTGGGTATATTCCTTCAAAATCGCTGAAAATGTTTAAATTTCTAGAGATAACCCTTGCAACACAATTATACTGAGTCCTCTGTGATTCAATTTTTCAATTCCTCCAGGATATTCGGTCCCTTGACTTTAATTACAATACTTTGAGTTATCATTCACTTTTTCTTGTAAAGTCTCATATAATTTACCTTCCAACTTGAAAGTATGATTCACTGATGCTTAAAAAAAGGTTCTGTCACTTTTTTGATGAATGATATGAACTACCAAGCAAGATGGCAAAATAGGAAGTCACCACTTGTGTCTACCACCACCACCACAAGAATGTTGCATGTATCTACAAACAAAAGTCTCTTTGTAAGAGCCTTGGAATTCAGGTGGGAAGCTGTGAAATTCTGCTGGAGCCCAAGACAGAGGAGGTTGTTTTGAGAGTGAAGACCCACACCCAAGTGGCAGACCCACCAATTCGGCTCCCAGGTACAGGCCTGGAAATGGCCCCTTTCCGCCAAAGGGCTTGG